ACCCCTTCCACAGGAATGGTTTTTAGTAGAAAAGTTAGATCTCCTCAAAACAAACAAGAAAGGAGCAGCTCATGCCAGGAAAATGGGAGGTAGACCAGGAGAAGTCTGAGCTCTACAGCTGGAGAACCAGCAATGCTTCAATTCACTGAGATTTTCTGAGTTCCCCTTCCCAGCTTCATTCATCTCACTCTTGTTTTCTTTTCCTGCTGGCTTTTCTTTTTGTTTGAATGGGAAAAGTACACACATTTCCAATACCTAAAGCATGGGCATGCTTTAAAAAGGTGCATTTTGAAGGGCATGTGTTCTGAAATTTTAAAATAAACATTTTTGAATGCTACTGAATGTTTGAGACTTTTTAAAAAAAACTGTACTCCTGTTTGGGGTTGTCAGTGGGGCACAAACTGATTATCTGCTATCTAATAAGAAGTGCTCCTAAGTTCTTACAGGTTCCTTGGACAAGATGGTCTAGCCCATCTCTACGAAAGGAGGGAGGCTCCTGAGTGACTACCTAGCCACCATTAATGGTCATGTTTCAAGGGATAGACCAGAACATCATTAGAAGAAGTGCCCAGTTGTAGAGGAGGACGTCTGACAAGGGCATCTTCCAGAAGCTGCTGGTGTTCCATACCTGAGCCCAGGGAGGTTTCAGCTCATAAACCTCAGCAGAGGGGGCTGCTGGTACAGCACCATTACTTTGGCTCAAGTCCCTGGTTGCTTTACTTCTAGCTATCTAGTTCTCCCTGCATCAGACCCCCTGTAAGCAGTGCCTAGATATCCAAGTGATCTCACATCTGGATGCTTCCAGCCTGGCACTGTACTCTTTGCTCAAGTGTTGCCGGTCTGGGCACCAGAGTTCCCAGTGACTTTGCATCTGCCCCTTTCTTGGTTTAGCACAACACTATTTTGATGAGCCCTGTGGGCTTTTCCCCAGACTGTCTCTGGCTCTGCCCAAGGACCACCTCCAGCCTCACAGTTTCCCTCAGGAAGCAGGGATGGGGATGGGGATGGGGATGGGGATGGGGATGGGGATGGGGAGAGGGATTGTGCCAGAGAAGAATGTGAAAAAATCAAGACACAAAAGAAGGAATTTTCCAAAGTGAAATGATGTTCTTTCTTCCTGCCTCCTGCATCGATTTTCTGCCCAACGTTCTCTTCTGTTTAGCAGTTCATTTGTCATTCTGCCAGTGGGTGATATTTAAGATGATTATGAAAACTGGATGGGCTATTTACTTCACAGCATTATGAGAACTTCATCAGAAGAACCTGTAGGATGTTTTCTGGCTGGGGGTGGGAGGCTGCTCTGAGCTGATGTGCTTCTCTCTGCATCTTGTTATCAGGACTAATTCAAATGAGCTCACCTTCCTGCAGCTGATGCCAAATAGACCTTGGTCCTCCTCCTCCTGATACAGAAGTGGGGGGTATTGTTTGAACTCCTCAGTTCCATGCACCAGTCAAAGCATGTGCAGCATCAGTACCCAAGAGCCACATGTCCTTAGAGGAGGCAGCTGAGACCCAGCATGGAATTGGATCAGTGCTTGGGACAGAGGGCTTCCTTGCACCAGTGTAGGACACACGAATCTGGAGATTGGCTCCCATGCATGGACCCCAAGCTGTGACTTTTCCACAGCAGCTGCAAGAGGAGGGTGAGTACATCGGAATGGCTGCTTTTCATCATCTTTCATCTTGAGCACCTAGACTTGGATAACAGCAAGGAAACAGAACAAACTAGCAGTTGTTTAATGATAGCTGTTTCTGTTGATAGCTTCAATAAGTCGTATTACAAGAGAAGGAAATGGACACATCTAGGGAAGTTGGAGAAATTTGCAGTGGATTCAAATGAATTCAGGTTTCTATGAATCTGACCAGAGGATTCTGCAGTGCTGGGGGTTTATGAGAACTGTGGAATTGCAGACTTTAAAAAAAATATGTATTTTGGGAGGATTTCCGTGAATTCACACTTGCGCTAGTGCGAGTGCAGTAGGCAACATACATGCAAATTGACTAGGTTGGAAATGTGCACCCACATTAATGTGTGTGTCGGGAAGGGGTTAAGCCAATCTTTAGGCGAGAGAAGAAACATATAGCTCCAATTGGAGAATGATTCACAAAGTCTAAGAGTTCTAGTGGTCACAGTCTGAAGGAGTAAGTTACAATTTGGACTTATCAGGACTATTAGACTCAAGGGCTTGATTACTAGCAGCTAGGGAAATCACCGTGGTGGAATTGGGAGTTCTGACATCACCCCCTGGTCAGTTGAAGGGAATTGGGGGTGGAGCTAAAGGACCCAGGTATTGAAAGAACAGCACCTCTGTTCTCCTGGTTGTGCTGCCTGCCTGTGGCAACAAGAGACCTTCCACGCACCTGCTGGGGGCTGGATCATAGACCTGAAGTTATTATGCATGCATAAAATAGCACAGGGCTAGCTTTCTTATTTTCTTGTTCTTTGGTGCAGCAAAATGACCTGGTGCAGGGGAGTGGGCTTATACACTTAACTGACTTGCTGCTATCCACTTTCGTTTATCCTTTCCTTGCCCACTGCAATCCCCCCCCCCTATATTTTTCAATAAATCCCTGTAGCCCCAGAAATTGTGCTTGAGTGAGTTGTGTGCTCATTCAGGTGTCTTGCCAGAGAGTGTGCAAGAGAACCTCCACTGGGGCCAAGGGGAGAAGGGATTCCCCTCAGCGTAATGTTCCAGCACCCCGGCACCAACACACCCTCGTGCTAATGTGTATTTGCGCAACGGGAACACATTCTAATGCATCCGTAAATCACTCCAGTTCTGTCAAGGAGATTATTATAGAACGAAATTCACCTGGAACAGCTGTAACAAAATCCCTTCATCTGTAGTCATGTCCAAAAAGTCTCACCTGAATGATAGTTTTGCAAAAGCTTGCATTTCTGTAATGCATTCCTACAGTAGTACAAGTTTCTTCCACTGTGCTGCTAAAGTTATCTGTGTATTCCCATGGAATGTGACTAAATAACCTCCCAAATCTTGTCCTTCATCATATCTTGAGACTATTACAGTGCCAGGAGGAGTGCGGTCCATCTTTCAGGACAGTCACTCAGCAATTTGTTCAAGGAATGCTGATTCTTTCACTGTATCAGCAGGCTTGCTTTCTTCAATGCATTTCCTACTAAATATATGCACAAGTATTTATTATCTTCAGAATGAAGGGAGCCCTGGAGCAAAGTATGCTTTTTTATGTTCCCCATCACTGGGATGATACATCTATCCAATGCATTTGCTCAACCACTTTGATATTCCTCAAGACGAAAAAGATACTTATGGAATAAATGCAATTCCAAGATAAATGAGCACAGAATTTCACAACAACATCACTTTTTAGAAACAAACTCAGATGAGATCTAGTGTATAACAGATATTTAGTTAAATTTGAGTCTAAGCATACTGTTTTTGCATTACAGCTTTGCATCTTTCAATGGCCTGTTTGCATAACAACTACACCAAGTCACCCAAATATTTTGGTTCTTGAAATTGCTGTAGCACAACAACCCATCTACTCCAGTTGGTAATAATAGCCACATTTGCACGGCATGCTAAGTGATCCTGTGAATAAGTTTTACACAGAGTTGTTTGTGAAGAACCCATGGAGTGCCCAACAAAAGATTGGGCTCACCATGCCTTGTTCCCCCACACCTTCCCTCTTGGTTTTCCAGCCAATATCCCAACGCCCCTCCAGCAGAACACATCTTGCTTCCTCTCCTCATTCTTGTTGCTTCCCCTTTTTATTTGCTTTTTAAAGAGCATTTAAAGAGTGCATTAAACCATGGCTTCCTCCCCTCCACCACCGCCCACCAGAAGATGAAACTGGGTTCTTTTTTTAAATGTTTGTTGATCTCTTTCACAGAAATGCAGGTGCATTATGGATGTGCATTCTGATATGTGTTTTTATAAGACCTTTTTATTTACCCTTCATTTTAATAATTAAATCAATAATTTTAATAAGCAATATTAATTAGTTGCATCTTCTTTCTCTTTTTCTTTTCCTTTTTCCTTTTCTTCTTTTAATTTTGAATATATTGGTTGGATTGAATGTTTGAATTTTATTGAATTTTATTTATTTATTTATTTATTAAAACATTTCTATGCCGCCCCATTCGCCGAAGCCTCGGGGTGGCTCACAACATAAATTAAAATACAAGAACAAATTTTAATTGTATTTTATATGGTTCTTTATTTCGTTGCGAGCCGTCCTGAGGCTATACAAAGGACAGCATAAAAATGTTTTAAATAAATGAATAATGGTCTTACTTTGTCACTAGCTCATAAACTGCAATAGCTGGATATTTGGGGAAGGGTAGAAATGGTAGCGAACGGTGAGAAATGCCTTGCTTAAAGCAAGAAGATCACATTCCTAAGGGGCTCATGTTGTCACACGAAATGGCACCTTGCATGGACAAGAGTGTTACAAAGAACAGAAAAAGCATAAAGTAACACACACGCACATACACAGGTCAGCCAGCCGTGAGCATGCCCAGTGCGTGTGGGATGCTGATTAACCATCCTGGGAAGAGGAAATGGCTAGAAATGCATATTCAGGAAAAGAGCATGGATGTTTTAATAGAATCCTAAAGCAGAGGACTTCACGGTGCAATCTTCTGAATCATGATAACATGCTTCTATTCCTCCCAGGAAAAGATGCTTAAAGAAGGAAATTAGCCCATTAACTTTGCATTTCAGCTGTGTTTTATTTTATACTGTCTTATTGTTAAACTGTCCTGAGACCACGGTAAGGGACAGTCTACCCTGTTTCCCCAAAAATAAGACCTAACCTGAAAATAAGCCCTAGCATGATTTTTCAGGATGCTCATAATATAAACCCTACCCCCAAAATAAGACCCAGTTAAGATCACCAGCCAGATGGACACATTTAGTATGTCCGTTGCAACACAATTCAGAGTTTGGAGAGTTATCACGATGTTCCAGAAGATCACATGACTATATTTGAATAAATGTTGATTTTTGTACATGAATAAATGAATACATGTAGATTGTTGTACATGAAAAAATAAGACCACCTGAAAATAAGCGCTAGTGCGAATTTTGGACCAAAAAATAATATAAGACCCAGTCTTATTTTTGGGGAAACACGGTAGAAAAGTTTTAAATAAATAAATACTTTCTGCAAAACAGTTTTGCATATCCGCATTCCCCCCTGTTGGAGGTATGATTCTTAAATTAAAACTAAAATCTTCATGACAGTACATCTCAGCCTTTTTGACCAAAGAAAATGAATGAAATAGGAAAATATGATTTAATAGGCACCTAGATTAAAAAATTAGCATTCCCTCCCACTATGAAGTTCAAACGTGAGGGCGGGGTACAAACTGCTGCACCTACAAATGATGAATGCATTCTTCTCATGAATCTGACATCTTGCCTGATTGGAGAACAGCCTGTAACTAGAAGATACTGCAATAATGAAATGTCCACTGAACAATTTGCACTTACCGCTGACATGATGAGCTCTCCACCTAAATTCTGGATTTCAGCTTTAACTTGACTGCAGATTTTGAGCTGGTGGGAATACAATTTGATCTGTTCCAGGTAAGCCAGCAAGTCTTGCTTGCACGACAGATCTGGACACTAAGAAGTAAAAACAACATCAATAATAATTATAAACATGTTGTGTCCGTCTGCTAATAATCTTAATTGTCTGGGATCCAAAGAAGGACATGGAATGAGTCCAAGTAAATGTGTACCTCCAAAAAAATCACTCTATAAACCGGTGCATGAAATTCTTATTGATGTGTGTCTATTGTTCCACTTTCCTCTACCCTGGTGCTGAATGTTGCAGACACTTCCTTCAAACAGAGCATGCATTCAAAATACAGAGCCATATACTTGTAGTATAACATGTGTCAGCATCACCATGATCCTATGCATGGTTACGCAAAAATAAGTCCCACTGTGCTCAATGGGATTACTCCTGGGTAAATGTATCAGCAGGGCATCCTGCACACATCGGGGCTATTTGTGTATTTTGCTCCCCTTTAGATGCCACATTGGCTCTTAAAAAATCTACTTCTGGTATCAGTAACAGCAAATATGTTTCCATGCTAGGAATGTAAAAATCATGGATATGGTTGTTAATGTTGTTATTCCTCTCATTTTCTGAGATATCCTGAATAGTGTTCTATTCAGTGTTTCTCTGTGTTCACACTCCCATTTCAATTTGTTCAATAGTTTCTATGAACCGAGAAGGATAGAAACTGAATGAAAAATTAAGTGGGAAACACGACAGGGGGTGAAATGTGGCGGTCCAACCTTAATATCTTCAGTAGGGAGTTTCAAGAGATAGGCAGCAGAATTATTAGTTCCCTAGGCTGCAATTCTAAAATTTGCACATGTTCAGAGAAGAAACAGATGCTGCCAATTGGACAGTGTGGGCTTGTCAGCTGGTTCGACATAGCAATGGCTGCTATTGCTATTATGATATTTTCATTACGAACAAGATTTGGTTTCATTTTAATGAGTGCTTGTCATCCAAACAACAACAGAATTAGTCATTTGATTTTTTTTGCGATAAAAAGTAATGAACAGGCAGAGCGGAACTTGCCAGATTCATTGAAAACTATGGCAGAACAATCATTGATTTCAGGGGATTGACTCAGATCCAGAATATAGAGTTCTGTATTTATATTGCTCATAGGCATCCCTCAAAAACAAAATGATAAAATGAGGCTGTGATTGAAGAATACACTGAAAATGGATGAGACTGTGAAAGCAGGACATGCAGTCATTTAGAGAGAAGACATACTCCGCTCTTAACCACTTTCTGGTCCTTTTTAGTAATAAGGGGGAGATAACTCCCCAATTACAGAGTGAAGCCTACACATGTCTACTTGGAAGTAAGGCACACCAAGTACAATAAAGTGAATTCCCAGGTAAGTGAGTATAAATTGAGTAAAATATGGATTAGACCAGGGGTGTCCAACCTTTTGACTTCTCTGGACCGCATTGGAAGAAGAAAAATTGTCTTGCACAACACATTAAATCTACAAACACTAATACAAGCTGATAAGCAAAAAAAATTAAAAGTCTGCATAATTTTCATATCTGCCACCACAGATAAGCAAAAAAGTCCTCACATAATCCTAATTATGTGGCACCCCGTTCGAAGAGTCTTTTATAGTGAAAATGAACATATCAAGTAATAGGGCAACATAAAACAAGTGCAATATTTGACATTGCATTTGAGAAACTAATGCATCAATATCTGGTTCGATGGAACTAGTTACAATTCTCGGTGAGTTCTCAAGGTGCTCATCAGATATTCTGGTTCTAATTTTACTCTTAGTGTGCTTCATTCTTGAAAATAGTTGCTCACAAATGTAGGTGCTTCCAGAAAGCGAAGACATGAATAAGGCGGGATTATGACGGAAAGGATATTTGTCTCTGGGACGACAGGACATATAAAAGTCCATGATCGATTTTTTCTTTAAGTTGAAGGTCAGATTGCAGCTCTCTGCATTCCATTTGAACACTGGCAGATAACATATTTATGTTGACTGAAAATGGAGTCGCAAATACACCAAAATATTGCTTATTTTCCCAGAAATCTTGAAATCTGTTTTCAAATTCTTGTATCAAATCGAAAAGCAAGGCTAAATATTTTTCACTGTTCACAGGACTGTGTGGAAATGTATAAAATTTAGCCAATGTGTGGAAATGTATAAAATTATTTCCAACAGTAGGTTGAAAGATTATTGTTAATAGCTGCATTTCATTCGCCAAGTCACCAGCACATGTAATGTCTGATGGTGTGAATTCGACTGTCTGCGCTTGGACGATAACACATTGGAAGCCACACACAGCTGTAAAACTGAAGCCATGCATGTATACAAATGGCGAGTGCATAGGTACATTTATTTTATGTGACATTGCAGCACAACATTGTCATCTACAAAGTACACGCTGGAGAACTGAGTGATCGAGTTACCCCAAAAATTGCAAAAAAAATCTCATAATGTTTTAAGTAAGTATATAATTTTGTGTTGGGCTGCATTCATAGCCATCCTGGGCTGCAGGTTGGACACCTGGATTAGACACAATTAGATTATGACCCACAGCCCTAGTTTCAGTAGGTTCTCCTCAAGAGACAGACACATCAGAATTGTATTTAAATTATTTCAGATAGCCAGATAACTCTCATAACCCTCGTTAATGCACTTATTGCAATCATGTAACTGCCATTTTTGTTTCATTTTATCAGCTCCTTGTATCCTTTTCTGGCACTTTGCTGATTTGCAACAAAATGGAATCTTAATGAAGAAATAAGTATCTTAATTATGGTTTGCTTTTAGGTCCCTGACTCTCCAGCACTGTAATCTAAGCAGAAGTGCATTGTTATGGCTGCTGGGTAATCATCTTTGCTAACCGGATTACTTGCTAATAGTCAAGGAAGGTGGGCTTGACGTTTTCTCAATGGGAGCTAATGACTGGAGGTTTTCCTCCTGAATGGACAATTGACTGCAGGACAGAGCTTTAGACCCCTCTTTGCGTAGCTGCTGTGTGTAAGAAGATAAGGCAGCTGGAAGGTCTGCATCTGGGCAGCCAGAAATAGCAGAGTGAGCTGAGAATTGGGGTGCACTTGCTTTCGTCAGGAATCGGATACAGCGTTAACATAATCTCCTTTGGAAAGTAATTTGATTCCAGTCTGCTTTGCTGGTACACAGAAAATAAAATGGACAGACATTGCAAAAGACACCTTAAGTGCTCTTTCGCATCCCGAAGATGCAAAACCTTGCATCTGAACATTTCACTGCCTGAGACCGTACAACACGTAGGCAGTGTTAATTGCTTAACTTTTTGCATGTCATCTACATATGTTCTAATGAATTTTGAGGAGGTTACATAGTGTGTGCCAGAAATTATGTTCTAGCTGAGAATGAATGCCACCCTTGTTCAACTTGGGGAAGTTGGCTGGAAATGCAGGCATATCTGCAGGGTACAAGATTCGGGAAGACCGCTGTGTGCATTCCTATGAGGACTGCAGGAGATTAAGTGCAGTGTGCCATCTGTCTTTAAACCGAAATTTGAAGTAGTGCTGTTCTTCCTGTATATTTTAAAAATAGCTCCAACTAAAGTGAATAACCTGTAAAATGTTGCTGTTATTAAATCACACCCCACCCCCCCCCCCCCCCCCCAGAAGCAGAAGCAGAACCCTGCATGGCCTGCTTCAAACGGTTTCACATTTCTCCATTTTGATGATCCGAGATGGTGTGCAGCCTGAGTATAAGCCATTCATCTGAAACTGCTCTACTTTATGAACTGAAAAAGGTCAAAGAGAGGCAACAATGACTCTTCATTACAGGGTGATTGCTTATTTCAGCCACTCTCCTGCTTTACAAACCACACAGCAGAGCTGGGGAGAAAGAGGGCTTTGTTTTTCTGACTCACATGTAATTTAGGATTACAAGAACTCATACATTGTGGCTCAGGTGCAGGCTGGGAAGGTGCTGTTACACTAATACAGCCTTGCCCGGAGAGATAACATGAATGATAAACCAGTGTGTTAGTGCAAGCGACATGATTGGCGGTGACAAGAAGAACGTCAAACAACACTGTTATTCCTGGTTTCAGCTGCTGGAGAAAATCTAGGGGAAAATACCTGTTCTGAATTCATAGCAGCACAAGGCCCCGGCTCCAGCAACAGCTATATACTTGGTGAGCCTGTGTGCAGGCATCCAGGGCAGATCATCAACCACAGGAACAATCAGTTATTCAGGAAGAGGTAGGCATGGAAACTGATTCACGACGTTATCGGTTTCCTGACAGGTAGATGAGCCCTCCCTGGCAGCTGGACTGGGGAAGAATTACATATAGAGTACCCATTTGCACAAGTGATTCTCCATCCAGGTGGGCTCGCAATGCGGAAGTTTGCTTTTGCATGCATATTGGAGTGAGGCGACTTTTTGCAAAGAAAATAATTGGAAATATTTGCAAGTACAATATGCCTGCTTGGATCCTAACATCCTCTCGGAGGCCCCTGCCAACTAAAGTGAGCACATGGGCATGAAAGAGAGGGCCTTTTGGGGGTGGCACCCCCAGCTGAGGAATGCATTCCTTGGATCCTACACTGTGATATTTTCTGTGCTAGGTAAAGACTCCCAGGCAATTTAGTTCTAAAGTAGTTCTCTTGGTTTCAAATAGTAGTTAGGTTTTAAATGTTTATTCTGTTGGTGGTTCTGGCATACTTTTCCTTTGGTTTTGTACTGCAGGTATAATGTTGAAAAGTCGCATCCTGTTTGGTCAGGTTATGGCATTTTATGGCCTTAACTATCTGGAGACCATTGGTGACTGAGTGGTACAGAGAGAGTATAAGTGACGATATATAAGTGGTATAAGTAATGCTACGTACCCTCAGGGACTGCTTTTTAATATCAAAACCATCATGTCGAAGAGTGGCACTTCTTCCACTAATCACCTTCCCACACATGCTTTTAAGTCATCCCCACATTCAACCTGTTTGATGCCCAGCATCCAAACTGGGAAGGAATGGCTTGAAGCTGTTGAGCACAATGAGGTGAAGTTTTGCTTCTGTCCCATGTGCTTCTTTTGACATAAAAAATTATTCCAACCTTAATAGGAACTGTGTATCTTTAATAAAGACACACATATTTAATTGCTTCAGTACAGACCCTTATTTTTTAGCCTAGGTGAACTGGATTTGAAAAGTCATCTAATTCTCGCTTCTGTAAGAAACAAGATAACACATTGCTTCTTTTCCTTTTTGCATTTCTCTAAGAATTATTGCCTATCTATAATTTGCATGATTTCAATTAACATTGGGAAAAATGGATGAAGCAACGGACATTTTTATAATGCCAGTTATGGAGTATTAAAATGCCTTTACCAAGACAATTCAAATAACTCTGTTAGCTCCAGGCGTAATAGTTTACTTTATGACAAGGTTCAAAAGAAACAACGTGATCTTTTGAGTTGTTCCTCTGACACAAAGACTCTTCAGGAGGAGTGACAAGTATAAAGGTATTCTGAGAACTTCTCTTAGTGTGGAGGCATTTGTCATAAATAACAATCTACTTAGCATGCCACGGTATTAGAAATACACTACCTGGTTAGAAATGAGCCTAGCAAGCATATCCATCTTTGATCCAGACTCTGAGATCATTTTTGCTGCATTAATCACATCTGATGTATTCTTCAATGGACCTCTACCCCTGAATTTAAAAGAAAATTAAGACGTAATGAGCATTAACCTGTATGCATTATTATACTGAACTAGAGCAATCATAAGAAAGAGATTTCGGAATTCCAGCTTTCTCTGAGCCATTTGCTTTAGTTGGGAAAAAAATGATAACACTTTCAGAAGATACTTCAGGACAAATCCTAGTGCTTTTGCTATGAACAGTGGACTAACTGCAATCTCATCACGCAAACCACCAGTAAAGTTATGAAGAGACTCTAAATGGACATGTAGCGTTGTCTGGGATTCAGCTCAGCAGATATGAGGCAATTTGGTAAGGGACTGTATGAAATTGTCAATAACTGCTCATACAGATGAAGCTGCCTAGTCCCCTGTCATGCTACATTCACTTCAGTATGTGGTCATTCATTAGGCATGGACGGATCACTATATTTCTGATCCATGCCAGTTTTACACTTGCACATTCCTAAATTTGTTCCACCTCATTTCTGCATTAATCTACACATTTAAGCAGTTGTTTCCAAAGTTAATTTAACATATGTCCCATTCATTTCAATAGATCTGCTATAACTAGGACTATCTTTCGGGTTAATGGGAGGGCTGCACAAAACATATTTATATATGCATTTTTAAATGTACCTTCTCACAAAACATGCACTTTTAAGCATGCTTTGTCTGATGAAGCTGCCATCATGGCAGTCAGAAGAGCACCGAGTGAGAAGATAGGAGCTATGCCCCTTTGAAATCTGAGAGTGGGATTCTTGCTAAAAGTAGCCTGGTCATTGAAATTTCTTGAATAGGGAACAAAGCCATACATCTCTGTCGAAAACTATTGATCACCCATCAATGCCCTTTTAAATAGGAACCAGAGTTTTTGATAAGTAGCTGTCAAAAATGCTGGTTCCTCTTTAAAAGCTAGCTAGCTGTCCAAAATCCTTTCCCCCACAAAGTGTGAGATGCACTTTTGCACTGTTCCAAAAAACAAGAATCTCAGTGCAACATGTGTGTCACCCAGAGAACAGCCAGGGCAAAACATAAGAGGATTGTGCCATGAAAAGGACATTAATCTCTCTACCCTGTTTTTGTAGTTTTGCCTTCTCATGGTAGCTTGCCTTTTGACAGCTGTCAAGTGAAATCAAAGCCAAGAACATTCCTATCTGGAGTTCCTTTGGGTCAATGCCTAAGGCTGATCAACCTGCCTCACCTTGAGAGCAGGTAGTCCTTATGGCATTGATCTAGCTAAAACTGCACTTTTCTGCATGCATGGGATTGCCGACTCCAGGGTTGTGCCAGTACAGCTTCAAAAGAATGGAAAAATAGAACAAAAAACATGTGTGCACTTTGTGTGCATTGTTGTTTTTCACCAGCCACAAGCAGCCCTTCCAATGTCTCACTTTGAAGGGGATGATAGAGGCTGCCGAAACAGAGATTGCGGCCCCACATTGTCAAGGTGCATTTTGCAATCTTGCAAGAAGTAGCGGTGGGGAGCCACAATGAGCAAAAGGGGCTCCCTGAGCACAGAGGTCCTGCCACAGGGAGGGAGGGAGGGAGGGAGGGTGTGAAGAATCCAGGAGGGAGGTACACTGTTGACTTTTTCACAACCTCCAAACCACAATGGCTTATTGCTGGAGTGGGTTGTCATGATGTGTGAACTCATCCATTGATTCCAGGACAAAAAGACCCAATACTACTGCCAGGATTTACTGGCCTAAAATATGTGTGATTTAATGTTCACAATACAGAATGTCCATAATGCCTTGTCTGCTGATAAATCCAGCAGCCCAAAACACAAGGAGCATAAACAACAGGAACCAGTAAAGGCAAAACACATCAATCAATCCCCCAGTCTGTATTCTGGGTTCCGCAATATTTAATTGGTGACGGAGTGGAACAAAAACACTCCCAAGTGGTTTTCATATAGATGGTGTTGGCATGGAAATAGCGGGTGGGCAGATGAGGAAAATGTTCATCAAGAAATGAGCACCCCTCCTCCTGGGCTGACCAGCGTAATCGGTGGTGGGAGGAGTCCAAAAACTAGAAAGGCCAAACAAGATTGGACACTTCAAACCAGCCAGGCCTGCCAAGTCAACCTATCCAGGAATGAGAGAGCAGAAACCAGACTAATTATTGCTGTGGTTATGACATTGCACTCACTGCCTTTTTTCCTCTTACGGGGAGTCCAAGTTGGCTTACGCAATTCTCCATTTCATTTTTATCCTCACAACTACCTTGCGAGGTAGGTTAGATGGAGAGTGCGTGATTGGCCCAAAGTCAACCAGTGAGTAGCTGAGTCAAGACTAGAATCTGGATCTCCTTAGTCCCCAGTTCAGCACTCTCACCACTGTGCCAGATGGGCCCTGATGTCTCGGGTGGGAATGAAGGCCTGGGGCAACAGGATCAGAGGAGATGCAACACATGCCTGGACACTGCTAGAGCTGCAAGAGAGGCTTGTGAAAGCAGTAGCAAACAACACACACACACACTTGTGGCAAAGAGATACAGTCTCACCCCAGATGCCTCTGCTCTGGGATCTATTCAACACCAAATGAAGATCCCTTTTGTTCTCCCCCAGGCTTTTAATTGCCCAGACTTAAACTGTTAATCTCTTGCTTTCCGCAGTTGGTCTGGCTCTTTTTTAAAAAGGTCTATTTCTTTCTGACTTTGCATTTTTTAAAAGCCATTTATCTTTTTTTAATGCTGTGAACTGCCCTGAGAACAAATGGCTTGAAAGGCAATATACAAATGGTTTAAGGATGCAATCCTGTATACATTCAAACAGAAAAGAGCACTATAGTTCCCCATGGAAGTGCTAATTATAGGTCTTTTTTCCTTCGGACATGTATAAGATTGTGTCTTAAATAAAGAATGCAGCTTCTGAAAGTTAGGGGCTCCCTCTCCAAAAGGACCTAATTTGTATTTCCATTCAAGGCAAAATTTGCCATGTGATGACTCTGAATGCAATTTTTTTTCAAAAGGGAACAAAAACGAATAGTACATTTCCTCTAAGTAGCAATTCCCACAGAATATTAATTCTCAGATTAATACTTTCCGGCTGGTCAGATCTGCATTTTCTTGATGGTTTTGTTTGTTTTTAAAATGTCACTGAAATTGTCATATTGTGAAAGCAACTTCAAAGCCCCTGAAAGCATTCCAAACAGACATCACATAGAATGAGTGATACAAGAACTAGGCTTCCAGCCTTTCTGCTTTACTTAAAAAAAGAAGAGGGCAATTTTAATCTGATATATATTGGTATATATATATCAAACCAATATTCAAGGCCATAGCTGTTGCCACGAGCCCCAAAGCAATGGGATTATGGGGAGGGCTCATACCAGGAAAGACAGGGAGAGAAAGATGCATGAAAAGGCAGGAAAGGAGGAAGAATGCTGAGAGCTTGGCAGGTCTTCTCTTGCCAATACCAAGATCTGCTCCTCTCTCAACCATGGACCCTACAAATGCCAAAGAAACACTGGCAAGCCTTTTATAGGAAAACTGAGAAGCACTAGTCAGTCCGCCAGTTCACTGCATTTAGCCATAGGCCTTTACAAGTTAACAAGATAAAACATTGAATTAAATAAAACCATAAATCAAATGTATTAAAACGTAATACCAAAAGACAGACCAGGTGTGATTCAGGACAGCATCCCCTTCAAAGCCTCCCTAGCCTTTATCTTTTTAGCTGCAAGAGCAAAAAGAGTTACTGGATAAGACACGTGTGCATCAGCATCTGACAACAAAAAGACTAACTTCTCTGAAACAGAGTAGGCATTAAATTCGGGTGGTATACTAAGCAAAAATTTTTCACTAGGTTCACAATATAATGAACAATGAAGAATATAGTGCAAGATGAACTGATTTTACAAAAGATTTTGGATTGGGCTGAAATGGACAGACTGACTTTGTCTCTGAAGGAGAGAGAGGATACATACTTCTATCAAACTTGGAATGCTTTTTATTATTGGCTAGTGAAACAGGACTATGTGTAGTCTTGAATATGTTTACAGACTGTTATAAAAAAAAAATGGGGGGCTGACCCAGCAGGTCTGATGTTTCTGATTATCTATGTTTTTTAGTTTGTAGAAAATAATAATAAAAATTTACTTTAAAAAAAGATTATAATGCAAGAGGTCCTCTACTTCAGGTGATCCACAGATGCAGACCCGCTGCTCCACTGGAATATGGGAATAGCGACCAGTTAGTAAAGCTGCATGGGTGCTTTGGAAGTCAAGGGTGGTAAAGGCCACCCTAAGGCTATAATTAGGGGTGGAAACTAAGTAATCAGATCTTAGATGGTCATATTGAGAAGCACTAAAGACATAGACTTCTCTGAAAAGGTGGGGCCAGTTCTTGAGTTCATGTCAATGAACATTCAAGTCCTTCTGAACAAAGGGTACACAATCTACTCCAACTTAGTTACAGCTGAATAGCTTCCACCCAGTTGAGCTTGTGTGAGCTTAATGAAATGCATGAGCTTAAGCCTGCCCTGCCTTTGTTGGATTTGGGGCAGTGGTGGCTGCAGTCAGATTTAACTGGACTGGGCCCAGTTTGGGATGAGATTTCTTCCCAGAGCTCAACACTGTGTAACTTCAGGGAACAGGGATATAAGAACTAACCAATATAAAAAAAACAAACAACAAAAACTTGTGACTGCCATTAAACCTTTAAATATAACACTCTGCCAGTTGAACTGGTTCTGTCATTTCAAGCCTTCTTTTCTCCCCCCACCAACCGCACCCCGCACGCAATTTTTTGCTATTCCTATCGTCTGGTATCAGGTTTCCTTTCTTCAAGGAAGGTACTGCCACTGACACACTGCTTTCAAGCTCAGAGTCTCTTATCCATGTTTACTCTCAGTATGTGACTCCCTTAAGATTCAACAAGGGTTGCAAAATAAAGAAAGAAACATATGATCACTTCTCCTTGCTCAGTGAAAGCTCTGTCAACAATTCCCCCCACCGCCTCCTCCTATGGTTGTATGTTGTCATTGAAAAGACGAGAGCATTTTCATAG